GGGATACAGAATGGACGGTAGAGAGAGAAGAAAAAGGCTGAGCTGCGGCTATGGGACTGCCAACTGTTCTGCTAACAGCCTCTTAACAGGTGTGGGCTCTAGAACCATGTAATCCTATCAAGTTACCAAGTTTTTTTAAAAAAAAGGAAAGAAAGTCAGCAAACTGCAAACTCCTGGGCTCTTCCCCTCTCTCCTCCTCTCTCCCTTCTCTTCTCTATCTTTCTCCCTCTCTTTCTGTCTCTGTTGGCAGTGACAGAAATGAACAGCTGGGCTTCAGATTTATCATGTACAGACAGTAATTATTGCTGGTGCTGCCTGCTACTGACCCAAGTGAATAGAATGTCACACGGCAGAAGGGGGACCCAGAGTTGAGGGGTGCCGGGCTGGGGACTGTGTGAAAGATGTGTGTGTGAGACACAGAAGAAAGAGGAGGGCAGCGTTTAAACGTCACTATGTTCCTGTTTACAGTCAATTACTACGAGGACAGGGGCATCGGCTCTGTAACTCGGCAGAGCACACGTTTTCTCACTCACAGTGAAGGTGACAGAAAAAAAAGGAGGTTTCATGTTCATTTGTGTTGATTTTTTTTCTTTCCTCCTTTCAAAATAAATCCAGAGTCAGTGCAGCAGGCACTGAATTCCTGTCAGAGAAAAAGGTGACAGAGAACTGAAACTAAGAAATGTGCTCAACACTAAGACAGTGGTTAAGTAAAGAGACAGATTTGTTTCTACACCTACTCTTCCCATCTTTTAGGTTTTTGTCTTACATGGATGAGTAACTAAACGCACCAATACTTATTCATTAATAAAAAACAAGGAAAAGCCACTGATGTTGGGCCGCACAAAGTTTTTTTTGTCAACCCCGTCTGACCCCACCTGCTGTATTTATTCCAGAGATAAGAGGGTCAGGAGATAAACTATCAATTTATTACCCGTGTCAATCACTGTCCTTGTCATTAAATAGTTAACCTTGCATCTGCTGCCTCTTTTGCACATGCAGTTGTATGAAAGTTGTGGTCTGTCACATTCCATGCCCACTAACCCACGTACGGGCTGGTTCACACCTTAAAGACCCCCTGCCACATTTAAAAGGATTAGTCACCACATTTTGTGCCGGCTTAATCTCTCTTTCAGCTGGCCTAATAAGTGTGCTTCGATAAGCGAAGCATGCAAATTCATTCATGGCCAGTGGAGACCATGCTTTCAGACAAACGCGCCAAAGTCTTCCACTCTGCTAATTACCTCTTCATTTTCCCCTTTTCCCCTCTTATATAGCATATCAACAACGAGAGATTATTCTTCTCCCTTACTTTGCATGAAATTATAATTTCATATGTAAGATTAGGAAATCGAGTCGGGAAAAAAAAAGTTACCGGAAGCTTCTCTCTTGACTCGGCACACAAGAATACATGACACCGCACATTCAGCTGTGAGATTAAAAGCAGGATTTCTTTTCAGCTGGTTACCGCTGAGACAAATGGCTAAGAAATATGGGGGGAAAAGTTTTTTTTCCCCCAGAAAATTATACATGAAAACTTTTTTCCCTAACTAATGATATAATCTATAATTCATTGCCCTTCTTTTTAAGATAGTATAATTAAAAAGAATATTTCACCATTTCCATTTCGCTTATTTTTAGTAGAGCAGTTTAACAAACATGCATTATCTGTGATAATAAAAACTTGGCCTGTTATATTTTAGATAATAAAGGCAATGAGGACCCATGGTGCAACCTGTTTATCATTCTGGAATATTTCTTCACCGAGTATTAATTAGGCCATTACTCCAGATTGGTGACGGGGAGCTTTGAGGTTTTAATTAGGTGCTGGCCACTGCATGAGTGCACAGGATTGAAGAAAGGGGGTGGTGATGCCACTTGCCTTGCTCCTGGCCCATATCAAGTAGCCCTGAACACTTTGGCTACGGCGGCAAGATGCATGGCAGCCCACGTGCATCTGGAGTTTATTTGATCGTTTGATCTCTAATGTCTCCTCTCTCTACTGGTTAAAAAAAAAAAAAAAAAAAAAGGCCAGTTGGTGTGATTTGGGTTTTAAAAGACGGGGGTTAAGGTAATTATGGTGTTGGGTGGCTTGTGTCTGATGACTGGGCACATGCTCAATCAGGACTCAGCTGTCCCTCTCTTTCTGTCTAACCCCCCCAACACACAACAAACACACACACGCACACACACACCCCTCCCTCCCCTTGTCTGCTGTCTATGTTCCCCCTTCTCTCTCCCTGCCACTCTAAAACCAGGCATAACACACACAGCCTCGCGTGACATCAATCAAATACTGAGAGCCGGACCATAAAACTACACAAACATATACGCTGCCATTAACTACTGTATTTGACACTTATTTAATAGTTCTTCACCTACTGAATTTAAAGATAGAAAAGGAATTAATTTGTACAGGAATATTAAAAGAAAGAATCCATTGGTAAGGTTGTGCTTTTGGATATAAATTTAAATGTTGCCATAAAATTTCTCTATTTCTGAATTTAGCAAAATAAAACATGAATACAAGCATTTTTTCTTTAAACACTTAATTTAAACTAACTCAGAGAGGGATGTAAATTGTGTCATTCATTGTGTATATTCAACTGCATATGTAAGTAAAAAGCACATATTTTAGTATGATTTCAGAAAGGTATTTAAAAAATAAATCTTTAGAATGTGAGTGTTTTTCCTCGGTTGACAAGACGATACTAATCACCGCGTTGCTGAGAAGCACTCTTCCCTGACAAGGCTCCTTAGAATACAAGCATCCCCCAGGAGAAATCGGCATGAAAGAGGTTAAAGACAATGACTAGCATTTTTTTTCCTCCAAATGTCTCCCTGTTAAATTTATTTCAAAACTCTGTTAATCTGCTGTACACAACATTCCCATTAGCATAGCCCAGCCCCCTAATAAAAATTCCGGCTAGTTTAATTAAAAAATGTAAATTTACTGTCATCCAAGGAGCAGCAGAAATAGGAGTGCAACAGCATATTTTATTGCTTAAGACATCAAATTGATTCAGGTTATTGCTAAATTGTGATAAAAGGTTATTGAGGGCCTTCAGAACTGGGCTTGTTTTTCTCCTTCATTTCGTCCTGGTTTTGTGGAAGGCCGTAAAAGATGGAGAGGGCCACAAAGGGTTAATGAGACAACTCAGTGAGGGAGAAGGCAATCAACATTATGACTCATAAGAGGGTACAAAAACAATTTCCAAGCTGACGAAAAGTTTGAAATTAGGGTGTGTCACAAACCTGTACTTGTTTGTTGTTATTTTAATAATAGGACACCTTAAATAACCAGACATAATAACCGAGCCCTCGTCTATGTCTTTCACATGTTTGTGAAACCCTGTGGTCATAGTGGTCTACTTTACAGTCTCCCAGTTTTATTTAATAAGAAACAGCATCTTTAGATTGTGTTTTATTTTTCAATCATACTGCCATATACTAAGTTGAAGAGCAGAAAAGCCTACATAGTGTCACAAGTGTTGAACGGCAAGATCAGACAGCAAAAAAAACTAAAACCAAAAAAAACTACTAATAATTGTTAAGAGGATTCAAATACGATACAGAGAGAGTACATATCTGACAATTACTGAATTAAAAATAGTAACCTGGACCAACAACTGCTTGAATGAAGTTTGACTTTCAGATTTTTTTTCCTAAAAATTAAAAAAAGACTAAATAAAATATTTCTTTTCCGAGCATCCCATCTGTAATTTAAAACACTCTGATACCATTTTTAAAAGCAACATCTTACTCAAAAATAACCCCACAACCTTTACTAAATATTTATATACTGTGTGAGTTTAAAATAAAGTGCAAAAACAGAGCAGATAAGATTTTTCAAAGTCAAAGGGAACCCATAATGTCTGTAAAAAGTTATAGTTTAGTTGCTGAGTAGTTTTACGTATCATCACAAATAATGACATACAGAGGCAACATTACTACACACACACACACACACACACACACACACACACACGGAAGACACCACTCAGTGCATGCAAACAGAACACACGCTTACTTACAGTAGACGCAAAACAGAAATAACGAAATGTGAACTACGACTTATTTTAAAACACACACAGAAAACCCTTCTTTCAAGTAAAGTGATGACGAGAGTGGTGCTTGAAGTTTACCCTCCCAAAAGTACGCACAGAATGCTGTCAACTTGACATTTAGAGGTCTGATATAAATTTAAATAATCTGCCCCACAGGTTCATTTGCACAACAATGCTGATCAATGAGAACAGCGTTATTAAATAACGGAAATACTGAATATTTTTTTAGTTATAATTTACCTAACATGTAATGCATCTGCATTATCAGAATGTTTCTATTTTATGTAACATGCACCAACGTACTGTATATACACTAATCAGAAGTACCTGGAAAGGTGTTGGCACCGCTCCTGTTCCCTTTACATGTGTGACAACATAAGCAACACAACAGTTTGTTTGCTTTGTCCCCTTGGCAACAACCCCTTAGGCCATTCAATGCACCCTAATGGCATTGCCAGTGCCGCTGTGGGTAACACCGATACCTGTATTTCTACAGTACCTAATGCTGGCTTATTCAAAAACATGTAATTAAATGAAGAACCTAAACGAGCAGGAAAACATGGATGAGGGGGGAAAAAAAGCCTGACAGGGAGTTGTGCTGGTCTCAGGTCCTAGAAGAGAAATAGAATCTAACAAGAGAAAATGAAACTGGCTTTGTGAACTTTGTCCACATGTGTACTGCATGTAACACACGGTGTCATGAGTGGTGAGCTGGAGAAATGGGCAATCATATTTGATATTGCAGTCACCTTTGGGCACTGTCAAAGAGCTATAAATAAGGGTGTCGCAACACTTGGCTATACGTACGCGCTGGCACATAGTTTAATCATGAACAACTTCCCCTCTCAGTTTATTTAGTCAGAGATAAAGGCACACCTTAGACTGTCAGCTAATAAAACATATCTAGCAAAGACAGAAAAGAAGAAGAGTACTCACCATATTCAGGGAAGTCGAAGTTAAATCCTCTCAGACATGTAACTTTCATAATATTACTCAACTCTGTTAGAAAGTCATTCGAATGTTGGTTGGTGGAGGGGGAAATAAAGCGGAAAAGTAACTAGATAAAAAAAGGCTTCCTTCAATCATGCACTAAACTCCTTGACATGTAATCTGTCAATAGTTTGTTGCTGAGATAATGCCGGGTGCCACGAGCGGATTTGATTGGCAGCTTAGGGTCTGGCCCCTCCTTCCTGTGGTTTGACGGGGGGTAGGTGAAAGAATATGTAGCCTCCCCCTTCCCTGCTCTCTCTCTCTCTCTCTGTAGCTCTCTGTGTCGCTCTCTCTCTCTGCCTCTGGTGCGCTGCCTCTCTCTCGCTCACTCTCTGCTTTGCCCCCATACACACACGCACAGACCAAGCTGTTGGTGATGTTGTCTGAATAGGCTGATAGGAAATTATGGCAGAGGAACCGGAGCAGTTTTTTTCTCCCTCCCTCAGTGGGCTGGCCTTTTCCATCTTTGTGGTCTTCTAGCCTTTCAACTCTCTTGGGGTGGAGCCTCCACTGCCTCTATTCAAATGAGGGGAGCAGAACACTTTCAAAAAAGATCTTTTTGGAGGAAGAGATTACACGTTTATTAAAATATATTATACTTTTACTGCGCACACGTATATAAGGCTTTTAGACCAACTATTTAAATGAAATAGTGTGACTACCTATAAATGCTGTGTTTAAAACATGAAATGTTTTATTTGAAATACACCTACAGTAAATCCATATTAGATTTGAACAATTTTGTAAGCAAGTCACTTAACTATTAAATCATTATTGAATGTCACACATTAAAAAGGAACACAATTATATCAAGTAGATTTCCAACTGTAAATGATAAACACGCTTGTCCTCATCTCACTTGCCAGAAGCATTAGGAGTTTTTTTAAATATTTGATAAAAATATTACTCCAACACTTTAGCTTCAAGCAAATAACTCTCTCACTTCTCTCACAAAAACAGCAATCCTATCTATTTCAGTGCCATGTAGTATACTTTCTTTGCCTCTCTCCCTCAGAGCACACTCTTTCTCCTTCCCTCCCTCTGATAAGCTATCAGTTTTCATTGTAATTTCAGGTGAAATGATAAACGACAGCCGTTACCAGGTGACAATGAATACTTTATAAGACAAACCCCTTATTTGCCTGGCAGTTTCTTCCGCACTGGCATGCAAAGTGCCTCTGGACCAATTTGTACATAATGTCCATATATTGTAAACATGGCTCTATGTCAAGAATGTGGAATTTACAAAGTGACACAAAATAACTAAAAAGTCTAAACTTTGAAAGGTCACTGGATATTCCAGTTTACAACAGTAGTTTTATTTTGAATAAAGGTGGTATATTACAAGCATTTACTGGTTGTAGAAAAGAGGAAATGAACAACTTTATGGCTGTGAACAATAATGCAATGATACATAGAGCTGGCTTCAGTTCCTGAGTGCTGTCAGCAAAGTCCAAAGTATGTACATAAAACAGGTTTAGGTTGATTTTGAAATTATGATGACTCATCCCGGTAAATAATGGGAAAAAAAAGCTTCATCTCCTCCTTCCTAACCCACATAAAAGAAAATGCCCTTAAAAGAGTTTCTATCAAAAGGTTCCACCCTTGATCTAACATTGTACTGTAAACACCATTACTTTTTGTTAGCCATGATAAAAAAAATCTAACTATTTTACATGACCTGACTTGGCAACCAGACTTTTTTTTTTCTCTTGCAAAGGCGACAAATGTCAGTCCTGTTCTTCATCAATCACATGTTGTACAAACAAACATATTGTGTTTGGTGGATAAATGAGACCTGGTAAGGTCTGACGCCTATGTGGATCACTACTGACCAAACGTTGGGCTAAATACTCCCTAACCACAGCTTAATACCAACCACTCTGTGATATGATTATGTAGATTATTTTAATTTTACGTTTAAAGAAAACCTTTTATGCCAGAAACTGAAATTTCCATCAGTTTTTAATAAAACTTTAAACAATAGTGGTATGAAAACATCTGCCTGGCTGTAACATTGTGATGTGTGACAGTATAGAAATGAAAAACAAAAACTACTATAGTATCTCAAAACTTGATATTGGGGACGTTTCAGTTTGGAGGGTGAATTCTATTCATGTCCACAGGAGGGAGGATTTGTCGTCCATGCATTACAGCCCTCTGGCCCTTGAGCTGCCATCTTTGGGGGCGAAACCATTACTTTTCTAAAGAAGCTGTGGGGCTTTTCGTTTGATGTGGTCTGAGCGTATTGTACGGTGCATGCGGGAGAATGTTGAGGGCAAGGTGGAGTGTGTATTCGTGTGAGAGTGTGTGTGTGCGCTGCCGTGCGTGTGACATGGCAGGGGTACATCAGTCAAAGGGCCGCCGGGCCAGACGTTTGGCTGCCCCTGACAGTGCACTCCAGGAGGGGCTGGTCTGGTGAAGGGCCCACTCCGAGTTCTCCATTCCCCAGGACAAAAGCAAGGGCCCAGTTGATAGATGTGAATTCAGTGGCTTTTGTGCCCAAAGCCCAGAGACATGCCGAGTGAGAAATCTGACCTTTGCCGAGAGTCAGATTGTGTTTTTGAACCCCTCTTGCTGTCTCTGGCAGTTCGGGGCAAAGAGTGAGTGAGCGAATGGGAGGAGATGGAGTGGGTGTGAGTTGGCGTGGGATGTAGGTCTGTCCTAACTGACGGAGTGTCCAGGTGGGGGGGGGGGTTACACAGGAGGAGCGGCACGAAACACTTCTACTGCATCTAACTTTAAACACAACAAATTAAAATAGTTTGTGTTTTTCAACAGACAATGGATGAAGTTTATTTTTGATATTCACTGTCATGTTGTTGTCAAATTGGCAGGAAATTGAACGTGTAAAAGCTTAATTCTGATGCAGGGGCTTTTAAAGTGGGATTCAACAAGAGTTCACCCCCCAGTGTTATTCGAGGTTGCCAGTGATGTGGGATATTATTCCCTCTCACGTCTGTTTATATTGCATTATATATTTATTTTTAAGCAGAGAAGGAGTTGAATATTAAACTTACACACAAATACAACCAGAACAATGATGATGGTAATACACCACTTCTTGATGATCATCATTTGCATTACTCATGACAATGATTCTTCAGAATCTCATTTGATTTTAATAATTGCTGTATAGGTGTATATACAGCTACATGCATACACTATGAAAATCGCATGGCAAAATCTATTATAGGTATACACTTGAAAGCAATTAACATGGAGTTTTATATGAGGTATAAGGTGTATTTGTATGTCAACATGCTGCAATCTCTTTCTTATATTTGTGCACTGTTTATGATATTAGGTAAATTATGATATAGCATGTTGCTTGGCGGCCGTGTGCTGAGAGCAGAGATTTTGTAGATAGAAGAGGCCTATGTTTTTGAGTCATACATTTTTCTTGACACTGCTTTCATCCCCCGGCCGTAATCATCATATCTCCCCCATTGCTCTCCCGGATGCAGACATCCATAATGCAATCTTCCTAATTTTGATCCCTCGCAATCTGGTTTTTAAAAGGGAGGGGAAAAAAGGGACATATTTCTGAAGGCTTGCTCCGTAATCATTTTAGACAGATAGCCTTTCCCATCGCAGATGAGCAAATATTTGTAAACCAGCTATCTAATGGAAAATTAGAGTGAAATTAGAGTGAAATTCATGACAGTGAAATCCGATTATCTGTAATTCTATTATGCCATCTTAGCCCACACAGCATATTTTTGTAGAGTTTTTTCCATAAATACCTATGCCAGGGGTCCTGCTAATCAAATAAAATTGAAATTCATCTTCCCATTAAATTCAATTAGCTGCAATTTCTAAAGCCTAACAAAGATTTTAATTACTAAATTATAAAATTCTCCCTAGCCAAATTGGGGAGAGAAAAAGTGCATACCCTGCATCTGAAAAACAAACCCATGAAAGGAAATTGTTGATCAAAAAAGATATCCAGGGGAAAATAACATTAGGGAGAGCACTGGGGCCTTTATTCGACGAGTCTGGGTGGGGAGTGACGTGTGCCAAGCGCTAGGCTCCTGGGCCGGAGGAAATGAACTTAGCTGAGGTTCTCTCTGTCTCTAAATGTCTGCCCTCAGAGTTATTATGCTGTAATTGACTAATTGACACCTTAATTTCATTTATGGGGCTCCTGTGTTCATAAAGCAACCTCTGGGTGGGGCAGTGGTCTTGAATGGAAACAAGGAAGTCAACATCCAGGACAACAGGTAGGGCCTTAGGCCGTCAGTTCTGTCCTCGGCAGATGACGATTATGCATTTGATAATGAAATGGTCAGGAAGAACATACTGACTTAGCAGAGGCTTAAGGAGCATCTTACTCATATGTTTAAATCCCTCTGATGCATGCTGATGGGTAATAATCATGCATGTCCAGTCTTACAATCTGGTGCTGCCGACACAAATGACCTCCCACACAAATGACCTCCTTCAGGGTCAAAGGAGTTTATTTTTGGGAAGTAGGGTTCTGACATTATCAAATGGGGATTCAAGTATTGTGTTGGGCTTTTTTAACTTCACAGGTGACCGTGGGTGAATAGTGTTCTCTTTTTCAGCCGAGATGTGAGTGAAGCCGTGAATTATTGCTGGAAACGTTTAGTGGAGAGCACACTGCTAATAGGACAGCTCTGGGGTCTCAGGTCAGCCACCAAGTCCATTTCCCAGCCACCCCCTACTCCTCACCAGTGGGCCACTAAAATAACAGCTCAGCACCCTCTGCAGACTACAAAGCTCCATCTGAAAAGGCACCTGCTGCTGTTATTCACTTTAGCCCCTTTGGCAGCTCGGTCTGTCTGTTTAAAGGACACGTAAGAGAGAAAGACTGACTGGGAAATGATGAATTATTTAAGTATGATGTCTAATTGTTTCAAGGCAGACATCTTGTTTCTGGAAGGTAAAGGATTGGGGGTGGGTGTGTGTACATGTGGGGGGAGGAATCTTTGTGAAGAGGTCTGTCTACTGTGTAATGCAGGCAGTCTCGTACTTGAAGTGGCTGGGTAAATATGACCAAACTGAAACTTTAATCTGCTTTTTCCACACCCAAGCTGGCTGGGTATTAAAGATAATCTTTTTTGTGTGTCATATGGTGGGAGATATAGATGGAGCTAATTTTTTAGAGACAAATCTGATATTTGTCAACTGGTTGAAAAAAACCAGGGGATTTTCTCCTAATCCTCCCTTGGAAGTGAAGGCGCGTTAACAGCAAAATGCAGATGGTGTTCTGTGCACGGAGGGTACCCAGCACTCAGCGCAGTGCATACGGAAAGGCGCAGCTAGCCTCGCTAGGGCTCAACACAACCTGCAGATAGCGAACTCCCCCCACATTCAATTAACAAGTCACTTGTGAAAGCAGAGGCATATTAGTTTATTCCAAAGCGCAAACTTTGCAAAATACATTTCTTGGTTGTTTCTCTTTACTTTTTGTTTCCTTGCTGACATAACATCCTTACTTCTAGGCTGTGTTCATCAAATATTC